GCTGTTTAGTATGTTGTGGCTCTATAAATAATAATACTAACAGACAGTTACCTATTGGGCTGGGGTGCCTGCTTGCAAGTAGATAAGTTATACTTAAAATGAAGCTGTCATAATGAAATGTAAATATAACAAAGCAATCACTGAATTTCTCTTTCATTTCTGGAGCCCCTGCACATTACGTACCACTATGGGTGAAAGCCTGCATAGGTATTTTAGTCCCCAAATCCAGTGGACATCAATAGGAGACAGCACTTACAAAACCAGGGGAAGATAGCATTAGTCATTAAAGGCCACTGACAGATGATCAAATGAAACAGATTTGTTTGATGATCCAGGGAATTGGCTGTCACTGCTCAATCTCATGTCAGTTGATTAAAAACTGCTGCCGGGAAATTAAATTCTGTTTTTATTCTACTGAAACAGGGGCAGTCTGAGCTGATAATGGAGGGAGGGTTTGGGGGGAAATTCCCTTAGGCCAACTTTAAAGGGCCAACAGAAACAACTGCTTTATTCTACCAAACCTCCCTTGAGTGAGCAGGAAATTTTAGACTATGCATACTATCTAATGGAATTAGAGAGCATCCTCTGTAAAGTCAGCCAAGCCCATAGTGGCTCAGTTTGTTGTTCATATGCTATTAGATAGAGGGAAAAGGCTGTCTGATGGAAAATTTAGAAGAAGAAAAAAAGTATCCATTGATGAATTTCCTAAACACTTAAAAATTAAACAGAGGTTGCTGGCACCAGTTAGGCTCAGGGATAGTGTCCCCTTTATGTAAAAATAGAGGAAAATTTTCTCATGGACAAGTTAACTTTAATTGGCCATGAAACTTCCTCCTCCTTCCATAAGGTTTGGGACCCATGGCTCAGCTATATAGGTACCGGACAGAGGCTAATTACAGGTGTTAGGTGGACTAACATCTAATGGCCATTGGAGTGAAACTAAAAACCTCCATAAAATGCGGAGTCTAAAATGTTGTTTTACCTATATATAGTTCACTGTCACTGAATGTAATCAGACCACATAAAAACTGAAATATAGTCAAAAAGGTAAGATTGTCAGCTGTCTAATTACTTATAATTCATTTGGAGGCTTTCACAAATGTAAAAATCTTGCAATGCCTTCAGGAGTAAACATCCTCAGTTGGATATAATCAACACGATGGTGGCTTTTGATATTCTAAATCTAAATTCTAAATGTGTGCAAGAAAATCCTCCCTGTAAGTTCCTACGTCTCCCAAAAGGTAGATCCAGAGATGTTGTAGAACTATGACTCCCATGATGCTTTGCATGCCTTTAGAATGACAAAACATCAAGAAAGCTGTAGTTTTAAAACATCTGGGAATCTACCTTTTGGGCACCCCTGTCCTAGAAGTAACGGTCGTTCTTTGAGTGTGTGTATTGTTCAATAGATACAATTAAATGCAATTACACAAAAACATTATTTCTTCTATAGAAAGCAAGAGAAAGCCTCTCTACTTTAAAAGGTACATTTAAGCTAAATGCAATATCAATCCATTGCTAACTATTCTGACATCTTCAAGATGCCTTAACATGGATTAAATTAATCTATTGTCTTGTGAATATCACAGTTTATAATAAGGTAGGATACAATACCTACAAATTGGTACAATGTCATTCATAAATTGACAGTTCTTCATCCACACACTTGGGAAACAGTAAAACCTGAGAAGATTAGTCAGAACTTGGATTGTTTAAAATTAGTTCAATCTCGTTGAGCTGCTGTTTTTCCAAAATCTTTATTTTCAATATCAACTAGAAGCTGGGAATAGTCTGTTTAATTTGGTTCCAGCATTCGCATTAACGCCTGTCTTGGATGCAAGCCCTCTGAAATGCTCTTTTCAGGATTCTGTTTGGTAAAAATTCTGAGCCTTAAAGCTTTGTCATAATTAATTTCCTTACACTGAAAACAGAGATTCCATTGAACAATTTCTTTTTGCACGAAGGTATTGGCTGAAAGGGAGACCTGGCTTTCATGGGTGATAGTTATTCCAGTGTAATAAACTGTGGATTTCCAATGTACATAGTTTTTCTATATTGTCCAGCATTTATCATTGAAATGCACTGGATTTTATACATTTTTTAAATTTTTATTTCTGGTACTAAATGCCACCTGTAAATAAATGTATAGTGTAATTCTAACATATTATGCAATATGTGTTGTTTTTTATTTTGATTTAATTCACCCAATATGAGCAATAATATTAATTACTAATATTGGTTCCAAAAAAATCATAAATTTACTTTGCATCATGATGATTTAATATTATAGAATAATATTTTAAGATAATAATAGTTGATAGTAATAATAGTGAAGCAATTCCGTTTATTTTAATACCTTTTTTTCTTCGACTGACAGAAATGTGTTGTCCAAAAAAAGTTATTTAAAGAAACTGAAATATTTCACTATTTTGCATCCACATTAATGGACTAATATAATAACTCATATCATATTATCATAAATAATATTGTGGTAATTAGACTGAATTATACTAAACTGTAATAGAAAAAAAAGTTATATACTTTTATGGTATATTCGAACCATAATGAACATGTTCATGTAAGGAATACATTTGCATTTGTTTGTGCATTCCCACACTGTTTAAAATCAATTTTTTCAGCTATAGCTACAAAGAGTGTGTTACATATTGCTCCATTATTGCGTACCCGCGACAGGCAGGCTATTATATGGGTTGTGTTAATGATTTTGTGTGTATGTCGTCCTTCTAACATATCATTGTTCAAGGTGCTTAATTTGATTTATGCTCTACCTTTTGTCAAGGGTAATTTCTGTCATTTCCTCATTATATTTAATTTTTTTCTCATTTATTCTTTGAGTAATAAATACAACACTTGCCTTTAAAAATTAATATTTGGTGAGTGCAGTATTACTGTTTGTGTGTGTGTGTGTGTGTGTGTGTGTGTAAGTATCCATATAATATATTGCAGTACTGTCATTTCCAACTACCCATTTATTTCTATAACATAGGTGAGCAGAGCAATACATGCATCCACTTGAATATTCTATTTATCATAATCTTACATATATTAATTATTGGTGTCAATCCCAAAGACCTGATCTATGACCTCTTATTTAGTCTTGTTTTTTTCTGTCCTCACAATTGTCTAGGGACACTGCATAAGGCTGACCTTGATACAATCAACCACCTGTGTTTTTTTAATGTATACTTAATCTTTCTGTACATTTGTCCAGCGTGCTAAAGATCACACAGGCACGAGATACACCACATATGTTGAATAGCAATCAGTTAACAAAATAAAATTAATGTTATATGACAAACTTTTAACACAATGCAAACTGTCAGAGTTATTCAATAAAGTGAGAATTGTATGGACTTAGAACTGAATTCAAACAGGGTTATTCACTAATGTGAAACTTCAAAGTTAATTTTACATTTAAAGCCAATCTGGAAACCTCTCTGCATTTAGTTCAGCTACCTTGGCTTTAAATTTGAAGTTATTATTATTTTTTTATTTCAGGCAAATGTCACTTTATTTATAACCATGTGTTTGTTAAATGTCCAGCTATTTCTTACTATATCATGTCAAGCCCACCACTACTCCACAGTACCCCAATATGGGACGGTTCCAGGGGAGGGCTGGCAGCCTTAGGACTGGGAGGCAAATCCAGTCAAGTGGCCCATTGCACCACTGAATCAGTTCAAAATCCATGCCCACCTTTTCCTGGTTTTATAACAGATATTGATGTTGTGAAGCAAGGCAAATATGATACAATGTGGTTTATGGGGGGGGTGATGGAGAGAGGGAGATGGAGGGGGTTATGGTGAGAGGGAGGGGGGGTGATGGTATGAGGGAGGGAAGATGATGGTAAGAGGGGGGTGATGGTGAGAGGGAGGGGGCTGATGGTGTGACGAAGGGGTGGTAATGGTGTGAAGGACGAGTGGTAGTGGCTTGAGTGAGGGGGTGGTAATGGTGTGAGGGAGGGGGTAACGGTGTGAGGGAGGGGGGTGATGGTGTAAAGGAGGAGAGGTGATGGTGTGAGGGTGGGGGGACTATTATTATTATTATGTTATTATTTATATAGTGCCAACAAATTCCACACCGCTTTACATTGGGAGGACGAATAAACATGTAGTTGTAACCAGACATGTTGGACACACAGGAACAGAGGGGTTGAGGGCCCTGGAAAGACCCGAATTTCAGTTTTGGGTAAGTTGAGTTTAAGGAAGTGGGCAGCCATCCAGTTAGAAATAGCAGAGAGGCAGTCAGAGACACTAGTCAAGAGGGACAGGGAGAGATGAGGAGAGGACAGATAGATTTGCATGTCATCCGCATAGAAATTATACCTTCTGTCATTCCCTGGTGGTCCAGTGGGCTCCCTGGTGATCCGGTGGTGATATCCGGTCTGCAGCTTCGCAATGCGCAGAGGTGCAGACCATATCTCGTGAGACTCAGGCAGAAACGCTCTGATTGGCCAGATCTCGCAAGACATATGGTCTGCAGCTATGCACATTGCGGAGCTGCAGACCAGCAGCCACAGGCGCTCTCGGGCAGCCTGGAGGCTGCAAGGCCTTAGGCGGCTGCCTAAACCACTTAATGAGAGAGCCGCCTGCGGTCATTTTTTAAAATAATTTGGGACGGCTTGGGGGCAGTTGGCTCCCTGCCCCCCATCACAGCCCGCCCCTGGTCGGTTCTACACTAATTCCAGTATGAGAGACAAATTAAATAGTGCCAGTGCTAAATGAGCTAAAGCTTATTTAAATAATATGTTTATAATGTAAAAGCAATGTGAATATAAATAATGCTAAATTAATGTGATAAAAAACACATATCAAAAAAATGCCCAGCTTCAGATGCCCATTTGGAGGTAACCACAGGAAAGTATAAATTTGAGGATGTTTTGGATAGTTATGCTACTTTAATTATTATTTTTTAATTGGCATAGAGCAGATATATGATATGCACTGTGATTGTAAACATCAAAGCACTATCACTTTAATTGTTTCATTTTGACACTGCATGTTTTTGATATGTGTTTTTTATCAAATTAATGTGATAAAAAACACATATCAAAAAAATGCAGTGTCAAAATGAAATGCAGTGTCAAAATGATAGTGCTTTGATGTTTACAATCACAGTGCATATCATAAATCTGCTCTATACCAATTAAAAAATAATAATTAAAGTAGCATAACTATCCAAAACATCCTCAAATTTATACTTTCCTGTGGTTACCTCCAAATGGGCATCTGAAGCTGGGGAGCATGACACACAACCCAAAGGTAATCTCTCCTGGACTCCAAACATACATAGTAAAGAAAAAATCAGAATTGGGGGCACACGTGAGATATGTGACTTTAAAGGGACAATCCAGGCACCCAGACCACTTCTGCCCATTGGAGTGGTCTGGGTGCCAACTCCCATTGCTCTGAACCCTGCAAGTGTAATTATTGCATTTTTTTTATAAACTGCAATAATTACCTTGCAGGGTTAACTCCACCTCTAGTGGTGGACAGCCACTAGAGGGCACTTCCTGCATCATAGCACAGAAAACCTGTGCTAGAGCATCGCTGGACGTCCTCACGCTGTGTGAGGACCTCCAGCGTCGCTCAATTCCCCATAGGAAAGCATTGAAAAGCATTTTCAATGCTTTCCTATGGGGAGCTCTAATGCGCATGCGCATTAGTGTAAAAAAAAGTGTAAAAAAATATATATATACTTAGATCATATTATATATATGATCTAAGTATATATATACACATATACATACACACACGTACACTGTCTAGGTGTATTTTACTATTAATTTATATATAATTATATATATATATATATATATATATATATAAAAAACAAAAAGTAGTTCCTGCACTCACGCTGATATCTCCCTTTATGACCGGGTGCCAACCATGTATAGCCCAAAAAATACAAAAATACAAATGGATGGTTGCACTCACGGTTTTTGAATTAAAAGTCCAAAGTTTAAAGTCAGATAATAAAAGCTGTGATCAATGTTTCAGTCCTTCCGTGAGGACTTTCATCAGGATCATAAAAACAGACATGGTACCAACAACATATTTATATACAACATAATTAATTAAATTAAACTATTTTAGGTGAATCAGCTTACCCCCAATGAGTCTTGCTGCCTAGTCGGCGTCCCTGTGCCCCGTGTGCGCATGCGTGGATTTGCTCCGCCCCACATAGTGACATCACACTACGTCGACGTGCCCGACCGTAACCATAGCGACGCGGGTATACAAACCCGTCGCTATGGGAATAAAATACAAACGGATGAAGAAATCGTGTTTTATAAAAACACTGTGATCATAGTGACCATTATGTTTAATTGTGTGAAGTGTATATAAAACAGTGAATCTACTTATGAATGATAATATACAAATGACGGCCATGCCATATTGTAAAAGTATTTGTATTTTTATATATATATATATATATATATATATATAGTAATATCAAATTACACGTAGGCTGATACTGATTAAATATATATATAATTATTGTATTAAAACACAAGCTCAAGAAATGGTGGAACATATTAATCAACTCCCGACACCGATACGGATGACAGCCAATGTGAACACAGAAAAGGTACAATTTTTGGATGTGGAACTATCCGTGGAAAACCATAGAATGGTCTATAGCCTCTACTCCAAACCTACAGATAGGAACACCATACTACACTATAACAGTGTGCATCCGATGAATTTGATAAAGTCTTTACCTAAAGCCCAATTTCTCAGGGTCATGAGAAATAACTCAAAGGAAACGACGAAACAACAACAATAACAAGAAATGAAAATGAAATTTCTGGATAGAGGATACAGTGAAAGAGTCTTAGATAAAGCGTTGGAAGAAGCAGGGAAGAATGCGACCACATTACAAGACACCACTATAGGTCCCAAATTGGTCTTTCCTATGACGTTTCATAACAAATCACAGAAAATAACCAACATTGTGAAGCGTAATTGGAACATGTTGGCATGTGATAATAGTCTACCGAAAGAATTCAAGGAATCACCGAGAATTTGTTATCGAAGAAACAGAAATGTAAAGGATATATTAATGAGAACAGACCCTGTCGAGAGCTATACTGAGCAGAAGAAAATACAAATAAGAGGCAGTGTGCGCTGTTTAGGTTGCGTGACGTGTAATCACATGGTTCCAGCATGTAATTTTAACCATCCACATAAAAACAAGATGTACAAGATTCGGCACACCATCACATGTAAGATGACCCATGTAATATACAAAATATCATGCCCTTGTGGCTTGGTCTACATAGGGAAAACTGAAACACAACTCTGCGATAAAATTAGGGGTCACAGATCCAATATAAGAACTGCATATAGAGATGGATATACGGACAAACCTGTGGCGAAACACTTTTTAGAATATAAACATTCTTTGATCATGTTAAAATTTGTAGCAATCGATTGCATACCATGTTCCAGAAGAGGAGGAGATAGAGGCAATGCCCTGTTGAGAAGAGAGACATTCTGGATACAGGAATTGGATACAGTGGCTCCAAGAGGACTGAATGAGATGATATCATATCATCCGTTTATATGAGTAATGCTGAAGTAATTGACTGCCTCCTCTGAGTTATGAATATATATTTTTAATTAGAATTAGAGGAAGATTATATTTATCTATTAATAATTAATATGTACTAATATTAAGATAAGATAATAGAGATAAAACATTATGTATCCAAATTAGGAATAGGACCTATAGCATAAAACAATATATAATAAATACTATTGTATTAAAGTAAAGGTATAAAAACATGAGGAAAGGTACTATTCCACCTATCTAGATAAGTGATAGCATCTAATACCCTAACTAAATAAAAAGATTTACTTTAATTAGGGGGAAAGTTAGTATGATTAGATGGTAAGGTAAGTTAAGTAATTGTATAGGTATAGATATACACTATATTTTATAATAATGAATTATGTAAATAATTTATGTAAATAACACTATAAAGCATCAAGTTAAGCACCTCACTATTTTTTGTATATATGATAGTAACACAATCTTTAGCACTTCAATGCACATAAAATAGTAATGTATTACTTTAAATATACAGATTGGGAGACTCCATATTAACGTAAATGAAAGAAGCACTTTAGAGTATATAAATAGCACAAGTATCACTTTAATTACACTATATTGCACTTTATTGTATAAAATCAATAATTGTTAGCACTTTATTTTACATAAATAGCACAACTAGCACTTTGAGTTTACTGAAATGCAATTTATTGTACACAATTTGTATCTGTCACCTTAAATGCATTTAATAGGATCTATATAGTTAGATGTGGAAAAGTTTTACCTCCATAAAATTATGCTCAGGAACCAGACACATAAATAGTCTCTTTAAATAATACAGACAATAATGTGATTTAGGTCAAGTAATACTAAATGGAATAAAAAGAATCCTCTAATTATTATAATATATGTTCAATTTTAAACTTTATGTCTGACTTGAAAGGGAGTTAGATCCCCAGGGCTGAGCGATCAATAGAGAGCGAGTATATGACTTGCTGGGTTGCTATGGAGCCAGGTAAATATACCGGGTAACCATAGCAACGGTGACGTCAACACGCTACTTCCGGGTAGCGGTAGATTGACGCATGCGCAGAGATGCCGATAGAACGCCGTGGTAGCGGTACAGCCTTCGGGTGGTGAGTGTTTTAATCATTAATTGTATAATTTGTTTTGCTATATAAACGTGTTATTTGTAATACATATTTTGAGCTGTAAAGATCCTGATGAAAGCCATGTATTGTGGCTGAAACGTCGATCAAGTTTTAAGCGATGAAATAAAAGGAAAATCGTTTTAAAGAAACCAAAAGACTGTGAGTGCTTGCCTCTTGTTCCCTATATTTGTATAATTATTGTTATATATATATTTATGTATAATATAAAAAAATTAAATATGTAAATACGTTAAAAAATAAAATTATTAAAAATTATATAGATGTGTGTTATTTCATTCTAACTGTATTGTGATATTAATATATATAAATTTATATCAAAATACATGTAGAACGAAATAATATATATATCTACATACATAAATATATACGTATATATCACTTTATATATACCTATATATAAATAAAAATATTTAAAAAAAATTATATATATATACACATTTCACATACATATATATATACATATATTCATTCTACATATATATATTTATGTAATATTTTTACATAATTAGGTATCTTAATTAATTACAATTAGCGGGACCTGCCTGACAACCCATGCCGAAAGTTAAGGGAATTTAATTTGCTAGCACTATATTTAACCCTATAACTTTCCAAGACACCATAAAACCTGTACATGGGGGGTACTGTTCTACTCGGGAGACTTCGCTGAACACAAATATTAGTGTTTCAAAACAGTAAATGTATTACAACGATGATATCGCCAGTAAAAGTGAAGTTTTTTGCATTTTTCACGCACAAACAGCATTACACGGACAATATTATTGCTGTGATACTTTTTACTGTTTTGAAACACAAATACTTGTGTTCAGCGAAGTCTCCCGAGTACAACAGTACCCCTCATGTACAGGTTTTATGGTGTTTTCAAAAGTTACAGCGTCAAATATAAGGCTTGCGTTTCATTTTTTTCACATTAAAATTCGCCAGATTGGTTACGTTGCCTTTGAGACCCTATGGTAGCCCAAGAATGAAAATTACCCCTATGATTGCATACCATTTGTAATAGTAGACAACCCAAGGTATTGCAAACAGGGTATGTCCAGTCTTTTTTAGTAGCCACTTAGTCACAAACACTGGCCAAAATTGGCGTTTTTTGCATTTTTCACACACAAACAAATACTAACGCTAACTTTGGCCAGTGTTTGTGACCAAATGGCTACTAAAAAAGACTGGACATACCCCATTTGCAATACCTTGGGTTGTCTACTATTGCAAATGGTATGCCATTATGGGTGTAAATTTCATTCCTAGGCTACTATAAAGTCCCAAAGGCAACGTAACCAATCTGGCGAATTTCAATTTCAAATGTAACGTGCTATATTCGACCCTGTAA